GATGATCTTAATGAGCTCTCTCAGACTGATGGGGAGCAGCATCCTTACTAGTATAAGTATCACCAATTGACTGTGTCACAAAATAGCTTCTTGGGGTTCTTGTTTGACTTTGGGCTGAAGATACTAGAAAAAAAACTAGACTGGGTGTGGTGGCACCCAACTTTAATCCCAGCATTTGAGAGGCAAAGGCAGGTGGATCCCTATGATTTCCAGGGCAGCCAGAATATAACAGTTGAGACTGTGTCTCAAAAACAAAACAACAAACAAAAAAGAGAGCCCAAAAGGAAAAAGTATCTATGAGCCTACACACACTTTTCCTTCGGGAAAACAAAGTATCTTGTTCAGCTGTTTAGTTGGAATTGTTCATGTTAGGATGCAAATTCCTACCACTGGGAGTAGATGTTGGCTACTGTCCTTTGTATCATAATGAAACCTCGCAGAAAGAAACAGAAGAGGGACAAAGGTCTTCACGGAACAGCCTGAGGGAGGACAACACGCTTACTCTCCTCGACCCTCTGAGGGAAGAAGCTTCTCAGATTCAGCTGTGTTCCCAGCCTTATGTGCAGCTTGAAGGATGCTCATGAAAGCATCCATCATCTCTCCTGAAAAGAATGACTGGAAAGATCCCTCCCTTGGAAGTAATGCATCCTGAGCTCTGCCTCAGGTGAGAGGGCAGCAGAGATGCACCTGTGGGACTGGAACAGCAGATTCCGTGGGTCACCTTCTGACATGGAGTCATTGTGCATGTTTACATACGTGAACTATGAACTCACTCATGCCCTCACTGTACACCTGCACTTTGCTTTTATTTTAATAAAACTTTCATTTTTTGGTCTTGTTTAAATTAAGAGAAACTTAGTGCATCTTCTTAGCATTCCCCATGACTTAGGAAGGGCATTTGTCCCACCACCTAGTGGGCTGCGATTGTGGCTCAGTAGTAAAGCCTATGCTTATCAGGCAGGAGCCCTCAGTCAGTCCTCACCACCACAAATGACAGGAATGACAAATTTCATACTAAAGTGATACAAAATGTTGCCTGCATTACAATAATATCGACTCTTTTCATCTTGAGAGAAGAAGGTCATTCGGATTCAGTACCTAGTGTGATTGTCAATGGCAAGTTAGGTATAAAACACACCATGACAACAGTTGCTGATGCACAAACTCTGCAGGGTGTCCCTTCCATTGCCACAGGGTCTCTCCAGACTCCATGGAAGAGCAGCTAATTCTCTGAAATATAGAACGATGTCATTTTCTCAACTCTCTTTTTGTGTCCATTGTTTTTTCCCCACTGGAAACCATGTGTTGCAGCAGGTAAGTGATCTGTTAACACAGCAGGTAAGTGATCTGTTAACACAGCAGGTAAGTGATCTGTTAACACAGCAGGAAGTGATCTGTTAACACAGCAGGTAAGTGATCTGTTAGCACAGCAGGTAAGTGATCTGTTAGCACAGCAGGTAAGTGATCTGTTAGCACAGCAGGTAAGTGATCTTACTCTGATCTGTTTAACAAAAACTAAAGGGAAAAAGTACTAAGGTAGAACTAATAGGTAGGGAGCTTGCTGAGAATGCTCACAAAGCCTTGTGTTCCACCCCTAGCACTCCAGAAAACCAAACTAACCAACCAACCAACCAGCCAAACACACAAACAAACAAAACAACAACAACAAAAAGAAGGTAAAAAAAAATATATTTATCACTGTCCATGAAAAAACAAAAAAAAAGAAGGAAAGAGAAAGAAAAGGAAAACATGTCAGAATTGACAAGTCTTCCTAAAATCTATTACATTCACTAGGGTACAATACTTCCACCCTAAAACGGGAGATTACTAAAACAAAACAAAACAAAACAAAACAAAACAAAACAAAACAAAACAAAACAAAAAACCAGTTATAGGGTATGTGAAAACTCTCTAAATCGAGAAAGAAATTGCAAAGAAATTTAAAAAGTCAGATGGTTTTAATTACATCATTAGGTAAGAAATTAATGAATGAAAGTGATTGATTATTGAAGTTTTGTTTGTGACACAATTGCATGTTAGTGGCACTGAGCTGTGCAACCATGTGCAGTAGAAAACACAAGGCATTCTTTTTATAAAAACCAAAGGAAAGGCCGTATTTCCAACATTCCAATTTGCTCCAATGTGACGTAGAGTACACGTGCCAGGCAAGTAAGTTTTCTTCTCATTTATCCACAAACAGTACATGTATCAGTATTAAAATCAAATAAGCAACGTTTTGACAATATATTTTCACAGTTAAAAGTGCTGAGAAATAATTTCTTAATTCTGACTTTCCCGGATATTAGGAAACAAATTTGAAAACCATGTAACTGCATTTATACTTGATTTCCTTAAGTCCTTTTGGGGAGTTAAAAATCCTTACTCTTACTTATTTTATTCAGGGTTGACAGGACCAGATAGAGTAGTTCACTACACAAATCTTAACATTGTTAAACTTGATGCGCTTTTTCTTTTTGTGTTTTGCCTTTTCTGAAGATTCTTGTCCTTCACTGTGACATATGTTTAAAAGTGATCATTATTTTATTATTCGTATGAAAAACACTTAGCATGCTTTCCAAATTCTTTGTTTTTGAGTCCCTAAGATATCCTACATTAGATGTTACAAATAACATTTTTTTTAGCAGGATCTCACTATGGAGCCCAGCTGACTTTACACCTACTATATGAACCATGCTGGCCTTGAAATAACAAAGATCTCTCTGTCTCCTGCCTCCCAAGTTGTGGAATTAAAGGCATGAGAAAACAGGCCTAGCCAAATGACTTTGAATTTATTCTTCAACAGTTGATTATGATTAATGACTGCTGGCCTTCCAACTTTTCTCTTTTTGAAAAATTCAGCCCCCAATTAAATCACCACCACCACACAGGCATGCACACAGGGACAGAAGAGGGGTTCTTCCACATCCTTTGTTCTAATGGCTGCAGTAAGTATATTTTATAGTTGCACATGTATATGACCAGTTCAGTTATTACTCCTGGTTCATCCCTCCTCTCCTGAACCTCTAGCACACAGTCTCTTCTCTGTTCTCCCAAGAGATGGATATGGTGGAACAGGAAAGCAACCCTTGTCTTTACTCTCTCCAGCCAACATATTTTTGACAGTCTATAGATGGCATTGTATTTGTTGTTGTTGTAGTTACCTGTTTGCTAGTAGATGCCAAACCATCACCAAATGTTGTCTTGTTAAGTCACAGCCTGTTCCAAAACTCATGAGAAGGTAGCACAGTCTCTCCATCTCCTTTCTTTCCTGGCTATAGCTAAGCTCTAGGTGCCTAGGGTTTGTAGTTGGTGAACTCTGATGCAATAGCTGTGCTTTTCTTGCTTCCATGTTGGGCTTCATACAGTTGTGGGAACCTTCTCTACAGAACCATGTCCAAAGGCTACTGTTGATGGGATCCCCAGCAAAGCCAAAAACTTTGAGTCTTTGTTCTTTATACTCATTGTGGATAACTGTCCCTAACCATGATAGCTGTTTCAGGAGTGTGGGTGAACAGACTCACATCTGACCAACACAGCATCAAGACATTTCAGACAGGACAGGGAAAAAAAAAGAATAGGATCTGGTAATTGAATTTCGTTGTCATGATTGCTCAAAAGCCATTTAAAGCAGAATGAGTGATCAAAGAGACAACATGATTTTCAAAAACTATGTTGAACATATCATTTTAAAGGAAAATATATAAGAAACAGAATGAAAATACTGAAATAATTACAAATCTCACTATTAAAAGTATTAAATTTGAATCTTTTCAAAGTAAAAACATTAATGTGGTTTCCTTAACTAGTAGAAAATCACCAATCAAATCAGATTATGAATAATGAACTGTTGTTTTTAAATGGAAAACTGAGTCCTGATACACACTGTTCTTTTTGTTTGGTGGGAACAGTCCCTTTTCCAGCTCACACTCACTGTGGGCCTCTGAGTTGAAGCCAATCTTCCTCCTATCATTTTAGTGTTCCTTACTTAAGCAACTGTCACTCTCAAGAACAGCACCAAGATTGTAAAAAAGAAGAAACAGTACCCATTGGACTCAACCTCTGAATGTGCATTTGCATGGTTCTGCATGAAAAACTGTGCCATCTGGTGTTTTCCTTCAAATAAGGCAATTTTATATGGTGTCAACCCACACTGTAAAGAAAAAAAATACACTTTATAAATCTACATGCTTCTCAACTGAAAATTAATCACAGATTCTGCAAACAATGAGTCACAAAGGACAGATTTTCTCCATCCCTTGCTGCAGGTTCACACACACACAGCTGAACCCTTCCTTTTGACACACCAGTGCCCTCTCCAACATTGCCTGTGAGCACAGCTCCTCTCCAGAACTCTCCACAAACACTCACTGGTTCCAAGCTTCTTAGTTCCATGGAGATGTGCCTCCATTGGCCCAACCCTATCTCATGGCATCTAGGTTTTGTGTGCCATTGTTCAATGAGTGAGCTCAAGTGGCCCCTCTGGAGCAGTTTCTCAGTCTGTTTTTCCAAACTACTTTTCCCTAAACTGAGAATTATTATCTCACAGCATGAATAGCATTTTCTACGTACATAGAAAATTTGAACAAGTTAAATAAAAAAAAAAAATGTCTTCTTGGTAGGTTTTCTTCAATGATCAAATTTGCCTGTGTGCCTGTGACCTTTCTTATTTTCCACTCCAGCCTTATCTCTGAGAGACAAACCACATCAATAACTTCTTAATTTCAACAGACTTCTGTTAATTCTACAGACATTCATCTTTAAAATTAACATATTTTTATTGTTTGTGTGTATGTGAAGTGTATGTAGGGGCCAAATCCTTTATTTGTTTAATTTTCAAATTAAGTCCAATTCTGAAACAAAATTGGCTGTGCTGTGTTCCTTTAAACTATGTATATAAAAAATATACTTGGAGAAAAGTGTTTTACTCTGAAGAGATTCATTGAGACTGCTTGAGCTTTGGAATGTGATAGGTGGATCTGAGCGTCATTGCTGGAAGTACATTAGGGATGACACTGAATGCTGGCAATTGTTGTGTTGTCCCTGGAAACGGCATGGTGCAGGGCTGTATTCCCACTTAAATCCCTCAGGTGAGGATTAGCACCCTGAATCAGTAATATAGTTATGCATTCTACATTGCCCCTCTGTGTGGCCTGTTGGTATTGTAGAAAGAAAGAGATCTTCAATTCAAGAAAGTCAAGATAAATATTTCTAAAATTGCATTGAATAGTTACACTTAGATCAGAGAAATTGCTTAGGTTATGCATATTTTCCCTCTCTTTTTGAGACAGGGTCTTCTTAAGTACCCCTTCTTGCCTAAATTCATAATCTCCCCTGTAGATATAACCAACAATCTTATTAAATAAGAAACACAGAACCAATGCAAAGAAGAAAGCCAAGAGATCAGAGCTAATAGCCTTACCCTGCAGCTAGCCTCTTAAGCCAAGAGACCTCTCTGAAAAAGAGCTACTTCCTGTGTGTTTGTCTTTATATAGTCTTTCTGTTCTGCCCTCTCATTGGTTGTAAACCCAAACACATGACTGCCTCATCACTGCCTGTCTGTAGAAACTTCCAGGTCTTCTATGGTTGGGATTGAGATTAAAGGCGTGTGTCTCCAATGCTGGCTGTATCCTTGAACACACAGAGATCTACCTAGCTCTGTCTACCAAGTGCTGGGATTAAAGGCATGCGCCACCACCGCCACGCTCTTGCTATGGCTCTAATAGCTCTGACCCCCGGGTAACTTTATTAACATACAATTAAAATCACATTTCAGTACAAATAAAATACCACCATACTCCCCACCAAAGCTTTCCAAGTGATAGAATTTCAGGAGTGTGTCACTACACCTGGATATTAAAGTATCTCATCAGTACTAGTTTGTTGTTGTTATAGTGAGGGAGGTTGCTTATTCATTTGTTTTGCTAACTTGACACAGGCTGAAGATCCCTGGAAAGAGGGATCCTCACTTGAGGAATTGCCTCTATCAGACTGGACTGTGGGAAAGTCTGTGGAGCATTTTCTTGATTGAGGCTGATGTGGGAGGGCACTGCTTCCTAGAGGTGGTTGCACAAATTGGCAGGTAGTCCAGAGTAGTATAAGAAAGCTGCAAGCCTTGGAAAAAGCCATGGAAAAGCAGCATTGCCCCCATGATCTCTGCTTCAGTTCCTGCCTCTGGTTCCTGATTTGAGCTCCTGCCCTGGTTTCCCTTCCTGATGTACTGTGATGTGGAATTGGGCACCAAATAAACATTTTCTTTCCCGAGTTGGAAAAAACCAAAAAAGCAAAGACAAGATCTAATCCAATTCATACCAAAACTGTTGCCCGATAGCTACCTTAATCAAGGGTGTGCAGCCTTCATCATCCTGGACATCAATAGAGGCCTTTTTGGATAATAACAATGTTACCACATCTGGATGATTGTGTGCACAGTCGTAATGGAGTGACTTCCTACAAATTGAGAAAATATTTTAGGAAATTACAGATTACCATATACAGGCAAATTCAACTGTAAATACTAGATAGCAAACTTTATTTCCTTCTGATGTAAGAGAAGTAACTGGAATTTTATTATTTACTTATTTCTCTACTCAAGTGTTCATTTGCTGTGCTAGGGTTATAGTGCATGGCCATCCCATTTAAGGTAAGTGCTCTTTCACAAGTTTCAGTCTTCCTCAGAGCAGCACATCTGCATAACAAAACACCCAACAGACTGAATTCAGCTTGGATTTAACTCCTCCTCTAATTGCTATTATAAACTAGTTATATATTATACAGAGTAGTATTCAGTAGGTAGAATTGTAGGCCAGTGCCACTGTGCCTACCTTATTCTTTATTTCACATTTTAGCATCGCTGACATCTCTGTTACTTATAATTCATGATATTTTATGACTATAATTGACAATATTATATGTTATATATTAGGCTTCCTATGCACTCCATAACTCAATTTCCCCATGCACAGGATGGGGATTCAACACTGTAGCTATCTTACATCGTGCTACTGTGATGCTTCAATTCACATCTTCAAAAGCATGGACAAGTGCTTCCAGCACCTGACAGTCAGTGTTTGGTGGATACAATAATGATTAGTCTTTCTACTGATAACAAACCACAATATTCCAATAAAGAGAAATAACAGAATTCTATCTACTCTGAAGACACATTTTTTAATTCAAATATGTTTACAATATTTTAAAACTATATTCCCCAAATTGGCCTTAAACTTGGTAATCCTCCCAGTAGGTAGGATTGCAGGTCAGTGCCACTGTGCCTACCTTACTCTTAATTTCACATTTTAGCATTGCTAAAATCTCTGCCACAATATTTTATGACTATAATTGGCAATATTTTTAACTTGGCCACTATACAAAATAAAAGATTATCATACAGTCCACTGTGCCTTATATAAAATGAAATATGGTACAATCCACAGGCCCATGTCAATTCTACAGGTCACTTGTATCTATGTAAATTTTAGCTCTTAAAACTATGAAAGGCAAACAAGTTGAAAATAGCAGTAACAACAAACAAAAATCTAAATCCTCAGTCATCAATACTTTGATTTTTTTGATTTCTCAATGCCCAAAAGTAATATTTCTATATTTGCTGCCAACAGGGACACAGCCTAGTCTTCAGACAATAGACAGAGTGTCCCTGATAATCCAGACACCAAATTGTAGCAAAGCAGGCCATAGTGTTTTGTCTTGTACCCCCAATGTGTCCATTACACCAAAACTGGGCAAATATCTCTATAAGGAGATAACCTGCTGTATCATAGTTCCCTTGCTTTGATTTTCAAAATGCTTTAAGCCAAAAGAAAGTCAGGATTCAAATGAGAATAGGTCTTTGTATTCAATATTTAAATTTATAGAATGTAAGGAAAGCTAACTGGGCAGATAAACATAAACATTTTAAGAATGAGAGGGTCTTGAGAGATAGTAGAATGTGTATGCTGTATAGGAGATATCTAAGTTCCATGTGGGGAATAAATAGATTGACAGAATAGATAAATACAGTTGGAAAATTCAGTGTTTTTAAAGAATGTGTTTGTTAAGCCAAGAATATTTTTGAAAATATAACTTTTTGTTCTACTATTTGTATAAAGCTCTCATTTCAAAGACAAAGTAACCACTCAGAACTACAGAGATTACCAAGAAGCATACGGGCTATGGAAAAATCTACTGTTGAGTGTCCCTGGTTCCCGTTTAGAACATAGTGTGAAATAAGAAACAGAAAAGAAGGGCTAGGGTGATTGGAAGAGCTCAGTTGGTAAAGCACTTGCCATGCAAGCCTGAGGGCCTGAGTTCAGAACTCCCAACACCTTGAAAATCTAGTGCTGGGGATGTGGACACAGGAGGATCCCCAAAGCTTGCTTGCCTGCAAGTCTAGCTGAATCAGTATACTGCAAGACAATAAATCACACCTAGTAGGTATTTGGGTGAGAGAACCTGCCTCAAAAAATGAGATGTAGGGACCACAAGGTGGTTCATCAGGTGGTGGGACCTGCCAGTAGACCTGATGGCCTGAGTTCAACCCTCAGAACCCACAATATCACCGAACACAACTCTCAAATATAGCTTTCTTCTGACCTTCACACACTTACCTGCACGTGTGTGGGGTAGATGTGCACACACACATACCACTCTGTTAATGAGATGAAAAGCAACTGAGGAAGATAATGTCAACCTGTAGCCTTCACATATGTACCAACACACATACAACATGTACTCAAAGGAGTGGGGGTCAGAGTCATAGTTCCAACTGAAAATTTCCTTATATGATCCCTCAGCAAACATGGATCCCACTGATGTAAGATTTCTTAGTGATTCATTTTTTTTGGCTTAAAGTTGACATTTTATGCAAAAATTATCTCATGTTACAATTTTCTGTGTTGTATATAACATAGTATTAAAAAATATCCATTAAGGGCTGGAGAGATGGCTTGATGTTTACAAGCTCTAGTTTTGCTTGTAGAAGACCTGGGTTTGATTTCTAGCACCCACAACTGTACGTAACTCCCGTTCCAGGAGATCCAACACCTTCTGATGCATGTGGTGCACTGGAAATACATGTAGGCAAAACACTCATATACATACATCTAAAAATTTTAAAGCATACCCATAAAAATAAAATGTATGTAGTTTCATTAGCTAAATCACTTTAAAGCACCCAATAAAGTGCTCTAAAAGAGACAGTGTAAAAGGATTTGTAAACTAACCGAAGTTCTTTGTTTTGCTTCTTTTAAAAAAGGCCTAGGAGCTGCCCTTCCAAGGTGTGCAGGTCCCAGATGCCTGGAAGCCTAAAGCGGGCACAAACCCCACTGGGCTCAATGAAAGAAGAGCCTAAGCATGACCTCTCGCCTCCCTCAAGTTACAGTCCTGGAAGGTGTGTTTCTCCTTAGTTGCCTTGACTGTCACCAACAGTTCCTGTCCCTCCTGGCCCTCTCCCCTCCCCAGGTCCCATTACCTGCGCCTTGTGTCCTGGCCATTCACATGGTATCCACAGCAGTTGATCAGTCGTTCTATTGAAGCCAAGTCCCCCACACTGGCCGCCCTTTGTACCTTTCCCACTGGGTCATACCCGATCAAGTAGAGGGGAAATTTGCGTCGTCATTTGTCAACCCAGACCCAAAAAGATAAATATTTTTTTTTCTTTCTTTAAAGGTTCTGATATGGGAACTACAATCTGAATAACCACAGAGGTTTGGTACCTGGTAAGGGACCAGAAGGGAGGAGAGTATCTCTCAAGGAAGGGGAAAGTCTATAGTGTTATGAAGATATAAATGAACACTAGATTAGGAGGGTTTAATGAGAGGAGGATGGGAGAGAAAGATAAAGGAGGGAATAGGAGCAGAGACAATCAACACTGAATGCCTTTGAAAAACTATATGGAAACTGACTGCCACAGAAGCTTCCTATACGTATGTGAAAGGAATCTAAATGGGCTCAAAACATAACAGGTTTGACAAGGCTCCAATTAGACGTCTTATGCCACCATCTTAAACCTCCTGTGCCAGGAACAGGGTACAGCCTGTTGAGTCCCTAACCAAAGGTGGTAAGAATTCCAACCACGCCCCATGGTCGTGCATACCCGGCAGAACACTTAGTCATCTTCACCTCATCATTTCCGTGTCATAGTCATGCGTGACCCATACCCCATGATCACTGCGCATGGGCCTGTGTGTGCAGATGCGGCCTGGCCTTTATAAGGGGGCCATGTTCCCCTGTTGCTGTGACTGGCTCGGCCTAGGACCCAGAACTGGCGAGGGACATCGAGGTTAAGCAGCACTCAGGACACACCGTGGTTCATCATTCAAAGACAGCCCCTTTATTGACTATCCATCAGCCTTATATACCCTGCTACTTCCTACTCTCCATGGGGTCAGGGTACGGTCCTCAGGTTCCCATCAGCGTCCCAGCAGCTCAGCCAAACAGGAAGACCACAAGCAGAGAGCTGATTCTTGAAACAATGTTCCAGCAATAGCTACATCGTAAACATCCTGTGACTTACTGACCACAGGAAAAGAGGAAGGACAAAAGGGCACCTTAGGGCAACGTAGGGCAAGCAAACAGGCTATGCACAAGGCCTGTTCAGCATCTGCTGCCAACATGTCCCCTCCTTTTCTTTTTTAAAGCACACAGATAGCCCCTGTCTTAGGTCACCTGTAGCACCCTGTCTGACTTACCCGTCCTCAGGGAGGCCCTTCTATCCCCTGTCTTAGGTCGTCAGCATGGCACAGGGGTTGCCCGTCTTTGGGTACTATCTTTCCAACATATGTAACCAAACCTGAGCAGATTCAGGGGGCTGCATAGCTAATAAAGCTTGCTTGGTTGCCCATTGGCCTTGACTAAACTGGAGACGCCATCGGTACAACATGAAGAATCCGAGCCCAAGACCCAATATAAACAGAATAAGTAGGGAAACAGACCCTGACCACCTAGTAACCCATCCAGCAATTTTTGACATAGCTTGCCACCAAACATTTTCATCAGTAGGAGTGACTGTAGTTTCATTAATACGAACAATGACATGAACTAATTGCAAAGTAAAATTTACAAAACTTGCATTCCATGGCCCTCTTGAGTAATCATTCAATTCTTTAACCTTAGCAGATGCATTCACAACAATATGAGGGGTTACACATATTTCAGAAAACCCATAGGCACATAACATATGTTATCTAATTGTCCATTTAAAGTCTGTTGGATGTCCAAAGCACCAGCTACTCTTTCTGACAGGGCATTAATAGCAGTAGCCTGTCCCACACCCTGGGAAATAGCCAATCCAGCTGCAGTGGCTGCAACAGCCGAAGTTGCAATGGCAGCAATTACAGCAGCAGTTATGCCAAGGTCCCGTCTGCTGCGATGGAGTTGCAAGGGAAATTCTGCTGCATTCTGTTCCAGCTGCATCATGACAAAGGCAGGAATTCTCACCACCACAGCATGTGTGACATTAGGACTCCAGGAATTACTTAGGCTGCAATTCAAAGCTGAACAATTTAACTCCACCCCTCCCACACCTGAGCCATTCCAGAGGATAAAGAAAAAAATGGTATAATTGAATCCTGCAGTAACGTTTCTAGCAAAGCATAAGGGATTACGTAAATTCATGGTGACATTTATGCTTTGCACATCATGTTTAACATTACTAGCTACAGTTCCGATAGTCCAATTAGAGGCAAAGACAGCAGGAAACACAGAGCTTTCAATACTTACTGGCAACAAGACAGGAGGATTCTTAACCAGGCTCCATGAAAGCTCTGTGTAGACCCAAGGGCTAAGGACATCAGCACTTTTGGAATCATGAGGTTTTTCATGTTGAGATTTGTGTGTCTGTTCCACAGGCCCAACACACCATTCTGGTATCCAGATTGGTTTCTCAGCACCTGGAGGGTATACACAAATTGCTCCCCTCACCCTAGCCAAAAGCAGTGCTGGGGACTGCCATGTGTCTGTGGAAAGATCTTTCCACCTGACCAGAACCTCAGAAGGAGAGGGGCCCGAAAAATGCCATTGAGCAGCAGTACGCCAATGAACATCCACAAGCAAAAAATTTAAAGTAAATAAAGTAATGGAAAGGAGTAGTTGTGGTCCCTGTACATCTCACCTTCTTTTGTTTTTTGCAAATAAGTCTTTAAATGTTTATGCACTCGTTCAATTATTGCTTGTCCTTGAGGGTTATAGGGAATTCCAGTTTTATGAATTATATTCCATTGTGAACAAAATTTCTGAAAACTTTGGCTGGCATAAGCTGGCCCATTATCTGTTTTAATATACTGTGGAACTCCCAAGAAGAGAAGGCAGCCAACAGATGTTTAATTACATCTTGTGCACGCTTCCCCTTGTGAAGGGTGGCTACTATACAATGAGACTATGTGTCCACAGACACATGTACATATGATAAAGTTCCAAAACTTGAAATATGTGTGACATCCATTTGCCAGATATCATTGGGACGTAGGCCATGAGGATTAACACCTAATGATGGTACATGAATAAAAGAAGCATAAGTGGCATAAGTAGATATAATTTTTAAGGCCTCAGTGCGAGTACAGCCAGTACAATGCTGTAAAGTTTGTGCATTGAGATGGAATTTCTGATGTAATTGAAGTGTTTGATCAAAGGTGGTGACTACACAAGTGAAATGAGTAGCTACATCTGCAGCAGCATTGCCTTCTGCAAGTGCCCCTGGAAGACCAGAGTTCCCTCGAATATAGCCCACAAACAGAGGATGTTTTCTAGCCCAAATTAACCTTTGAGTGGTCTGTAATTGAGAATGTACTATGGACTGTTTTCCAATGTATGGAGTGGTTTCAATACTATACATCATTTTGGCCACATAGCAACTATCAGTATAGACATTTATAGGTTCTAAAGAGTAAACTTGCAAAGCCAATTGTAAAGCTGTAATCTCAGCTTGTTGTGCAGACATGGAGGGCACTGCCACCCACGTTACCTCATCCCCACTGATGGCCACAGCAAAACCTCCTTTAGATGCATCAGTAAAAATTACACTAGCACCCTTAATAGGCTCCTGTTTTACAATATGGGTAGAAATAAAACTACACAATTTATAGCTTTCTATAAGTTTATGTTTTGGATAATGATTATCTATATAGCCTGTGAAGGTACACAAGAAAAGGCACAAAGCTTCATGTTCTCTTTGCAAATAAGTTAACATTTCTTGTGTATAAGGGAGTACAATGCACTCAGGAGACTTTCCAAACAAGGATTCCCCCATATATTTAGCTTTCCATAGGAATTGAATTACTAATTCATAATATGCATTCAAAGTTTTAGATGGGGATGCAGATAAATGCACCCAAAATATGCACCCTGTTTGCCAAAATACTCCTGTAGGTGAAAATTCAGAGGGAAGAATTAGCAATAATAAGGATTTGGTATAATCTATTTGTTGCACTTGGAGTTCTTGTAGTGCTTGTTCTACCTTTCCTAAAGCAGCCGTGGTTTCCGCTGATAGGGTCCTTAAGGAAGTCGGCGAAGAATCTCCTTTTAAAACATCATAGAGAGGCTTAAGTTCTCCGGTGGGTATTTGGAATGAGGGGCGGAGCCATTGAATTTCCCCTAAAAACCTCTGCTAATGATGCAATGTCTTTAATTATACAATATGAAATTGTAATTTCTGTGGAAATATCCCTACAGAATTTATAGTATATCCCAAATATTGACAAGGAGCCATATTTTGTAACTTTTCTGGGGCAATTACTAATCCTACAGCTGCAAGTGCTTGTTGCAAATCTGCATAAACTCATAATACACAGTCTTGGGTGGATGCTGCCAATAATATATCATCCATTTAATGTATAAACTTTGCACTAATGGGTTGTATGGCTTCTGCAACACACATTTGACACATAGTAGGGTTATTAGCCATTCCTTGAGGTAAAACAACCCAATGATACCGCTTATATGGTTCTTTATAATTAATAGACGGAACAAAATGCAAAACGCTGGCAATCTTGCTGAGCCAAAGGAATAGTAAAAAAGCAATCTTTCAAATTTAGCACTATCATATGCCAATCTTTGGGAATAGCAGTTGGGCTGGGTAGGCCTGGCTGAAGAGCCCCCATTAACTGCATAGTGGCATTTACTGCACGTAAATCCTGTAAAAGTCTCCATTTTCCAGACCTTTTCTTGATAACAAAAATAGGAGTATTCCAGGGGGATGTGGAAGGGACAGTATGCCCTGCCAACAATTGTTCCTGCAATAACTCATGGGCGGCCCTCAATTTTTCTGGTGCTAAGGGCCACTGATCTACCCACGCAGGCTCATCAGATAACCAAGTGATAGGTATGGGAGAAGGCTGCACACCAGTGACCCATAGTAAAAATGCCCTAAGCTTCTCCGATCTCCGGGTAGTCTGGTGACGTCATCGGCAGCAGTAAGAGCAGCAATACAACCCTGCTCTGCCTTTCCCAGCCCTTTTCCTGGTGTCCATGGCATATCCATCATTATGTTATTAACAAACGTATTTTCTACCTTTAGAGCTTGAGTAGTGAGGTCCGCTCCCACGGTTTCTAACACATCTCTTCCCTACAGGTTAGTAGGTAAACCTAATACAACATAAGGTTGAAAATGTCCTTCATACCCCTCTGAGCACTCCACTTCAATATGCAGGCACTTTTCTGTG